GAGAGATAAAATAAATGTACTTTTACATGCACATATGTGCAGTGTGGACCAAGGCGCGTATTCCAGTGATGATTGAGGACCTGGACCGCCCCGCCCGACGCCTTTCAATGGTCACCTGGCAGCAAGTCAGTGACTGAGGCTGATCCTAAGTGGTAGTGGGCACACAGACAGAAGCTGCTTCCTGCTGGCATTGAGGCTATCTGAATAATCGCATTGGCCATGACGTTCCAGCGCTGGGGTCCGGCCTTGGCCTGTCCAATGAAATAATGAGCGAGGACTACATTACAGTGACTACGGACATAAATCCTTGACTCTAGTATGTCAACTGCTTTACAGTTACAGGACAGGGCCATTGCCAGAGTACATGCTGCTGGCGTTTTTCATGGCACAGGAATGGCCAGAATGGCCTAGTCTGACATCGGTGCATTACTCATGTTTAAAACAGCGTTGCCCGTGACTGCATGCCATGTACAGTGCAACTGGGGTTAGAGCTTAGAACATGATTGGTTCAACTTGCCCACTGGCAGGCTTGGTGTCAGCTCGGGGTCGCTGGACAGGCGCTATTTCCAATCACTGTCATGGCTTTGTGCTGCGCTTGTCCTCGCATCATGCAGGTGGTCCTGCTCTGGGCACTCGGGCTGAGGTGGGGTGAAGACTGCTTGCTTGATCTTAGCCCTGGCCTGTTGCAATGGAAGGCTGGCTCCCGACAGTGGCCCGACGACCGCCACTGGAACGAGGCTCAAATTTAGTCTGGTGTCATTGTTGTTGTTGGCTTCTTGCAACCCACCTTCTTTCAACCCACCTCCTCCCCCCCACCCACCCCCCCCCACCCCCCCCCACCCCCCCCCCACCCCCCCCACCCCCCCCCCCCCCCCCCACCCCCCCCACCCACCCCACCCCACCCCCACCACCCCACCCCCCCCCCCCCCCCCCCCACACGCCCCCCACCCCCCCCCCCCACCCCCCGCCCCCCTCCCCGCCCACCCCCCCCCCCCCGGGCCCTCCCCCCCACCCCCACCACCCCCCCCCACCCCCCTCCACCACCACCCCCTTCTTTCATTGTTGAAGGCTACGACAGCAATGTTGGCATGGGCCTGCTGCAAAGGCGTACACCGCCTCGCTTAACAACATGTTGGTTGTACTTGTCATTCTTAGCCGCCATGACATGATCCACCCCTCTTGTCGACCTGTCCTCTCGGTTGCATTCCTTTCAGGCCCAGGGCGTTCGTCTTGTCCTGCTGATGATCTGGGCACTCCCTGCCCAGCAGATGATGCACACTGCTTAGTCGTTCTCTGAGGTGTGTCAGTTTAGTTCAGATTCATGGTTTGGGCCTCTAAGTCTAAGTGGTCTAGTCTGATGGCGTGATCGTTCTTTCAGCATGGCTGCAGGTCGCCCGGTCTGGACATGGTTTGGACGAGGCTAGGGCTTTCACTCAGACTCACAGGTAAGTAGAGTGCTCCAGCCGGGAATCCTGAGTCGGGCCAAACATTCTTCCAGTCAAATCTGGCAGGTACCTTGTGCTGCTGGGTCCCCCGTGATGATCGCCTTGCCGGCCGGACATGTTTTCATCGCTGAGAGCGACTGAGGAATCAGAATCATAATGTCGACTCAGCTTGGTTGATTTGTTGTTTGCAGTCCTGGTCCGGGTATCCTTGCTCATGGAATTTGCAACTGTCATGGGCATTTTCCGTCGGGTTCAAGGGACAGAGCAGCAACTCTCAGTTTAGCTTGACAGACGACTTTCTCACCTCAACCCGGCATGGTGCGATATGTGCAGAAGGCCAGGACTGTTGTGGGCAGCCCGGTCAAGGCGGAGGTCAGGACTGTCGTGGGCAGCCCGGTCAAGGCGAAGGTCAGGACTGTTGTGGGCAGCCCGGTCAAGGCGGAGGTCACAGCCGCCACAGCCCCTGCAATCTTGTACCCCACTGTGTTGGACCTTGTGGCTGTCCCGGAGATCGGGACCGCGGCCATGCCCTTGGTCCGCCGCAGAGTCTCTTGCAAGTCCCGCAGCCAGGGCTATTACAATGTGGACACCATGTGCAATGTGAAGGTCGAGGCCAGGACAGACTCAGAGGCCGAGGCTGAGGATGTGGACACCGTGCGCAATGTGAAGGGCGAGGCCGGGACAGAGTCAGAGGCCAAGGCCTGTCCCAAAAGGACCCGGACACTTCCGCTGAAGTACAAGCGACGGGTGGAGAGCCACATTGCGTACTACCAGAAGAACCCCTCGGCCACAATGGGGTCTGCGGCCAGATTCAGGAAGTGTGCTCTCGGCCTCGTCAAGGAGATTTGCCCCGACAAGAACCTCAAGGTCGAGAAGGCCGCGGTGGAGAAGTTGCAGCTGGCCGCTGAAGGACTGATAGAAAATTTCATAAAGGCCAGGCACATGATGCCCAGCTTACCAACTTTGAAGGTCATCGCGGACTCACTTGGGCCAGATCTCAGGATGACTCTGATGGATCCCAAGCTTAAGCTGCCAGTGGTCGGGACCAGGGCCTAGTTCATCCTAAACACCAGGCAGCGCTACAGGTCGAGGGCTAGAGTCTAGGCCTTACGGTAAGTTGAGGCACTGGTCGGTCAGGACCAGGACCAGTAACTCCCGATAATAGGTATAAAACAGGTCCGACAGAGTCATCTTGAGATGGTCCACCTGGGGATTTTTTTTAGCTGCGAAATGACTGCGAGGACAGTCTTTCCAGGGGTAGAGGACTCACTTCACTGGTCCTGGGGCAGATGACGCTGGAGAAACATGAGCTTGTGTGAGTGTGTGTGTGTGTGTGTGTGTGTGTGTTTTCCGCTCCTTCAACCATTTCTTGTCAGTCTCTCCCAAGCCAGACACTCCTCTTTTCCATCCCTTGTGTGCCAGGTCCAGCTTCGAGAAGGTTCAAGCCGAGGAGGTTTCAACTTGTGAACCAGCATGTTAATGGCATTTGTCATGTTCTGGGTAGCTTCTGTCAGGACAAGGACAGCCCAGTTCCGTCAGGCCACTTACAAGGCGCAGGTCTCAGTTGCGCGGAGAAATCGGATAATAGTCTATTATTAGTATAATTTTACAATCAGGCTAATACCCTGGGGTAGCTGTGTAGCCGAAGCCAAAATGAACTTTTGCTTTTCTGGAGGGTAGGTTTTTGCATGAAGCCATGACTCAGAGCCATGTTTGGGATTCTGCAGATGGTAAACTTGCCAGGGCTTTGGGTTGGCGTGGGACTTTACTTGAGGCTTGCCGGGGACCACAACACACTTTTCTGTGCCTGAAAAGTGCGTTTTAACTTAAACTCTTAAACCGAAACTGTTTCGGCTTTTGTTCATAGTGCTTCAATCCCCATAATGTTCGGCTGGTGTGCCAGCTTTGACAGTCAAAAAGCCTTGGTCCATCGCTCCCTTCGGGAACGGCACATTTCCAGGGCCTTTGCCATTGGCCTTGAGGAGCCCTAAGGCCGTTCTTGTCATTCAAAAAGCAAGTTTCTTCAAAGGGCGACTACCAAGACACTTCGAGGATCAGGCATGCCTTCATGGCTCTGTCGAAGCCAAAACACACTTTTCTGCAGTTCAAAAGTGCGTTTTGGCTTGTTTCCAGGACTCACAAGGAGTGTTTTGGGAGATCTGTGAAGTTGTGGTTCATGGTCAGTCGTTTTTGCCTTGGAGCTCGTCATTCAGTATGTACTTGAAGGCCCACTGTCTTCACAGGGTCTAGGGATCGGATCGCTCAAGCCTGAACGAGGGGCTGGTGTTGTTGAACCACATGCAATAGTATGGTGTAAAAGAAGCCAAAACACACTTTTCTGGTCCTCAAAAGTGTGTTTTGGCACTCTGGCATCGTCTGCAACCCCTTGAGCGAATGACATGCTTCCATGGCGCAACTTTACCTTTGATGTTAGGGCTCTTTAGGGATTCCGAACCCATGGGTAGAGGGCAGACCTTTAAGGCTCTGTCGAAGCACACTTTCCAGGGCCAGAAAAGTGCGTTTTCAGCCCCTGTCGAAGCCCAAAACGCACTTTTCAGGGCCAGAAAAGTGTGTTTTGGCGGGTTTTCATGACTCCGGGAGCCCCAAGGCCATTCAACGCACAGGTCGGGGAATCCAAAGGAAAGAAACCAGGTGTTGAACTACATGATGATGCAAAACAAGCTTTTTAAACGCACTTTTCTGCTCGTCAACAGTGTGTTTTGGCCGCTGGCAAGGTCTGTAACCCCTTGAGCGAATGACATGCTTCCATGGCGCAACTTCACAGACCTTTATTAAGGCTCTACCTTTCAAGGCCAGAAAAGTGTGTTTTGGCTTCTTTTCATGACTCCGGGAGCCCCAAGGCCATTCAACGCAACAGGGTCTGGGGATCGAATCGCTCAACCCCAAAACACAGACCTTTTCATGCCTGAAAAGTGTGTTGGCAAGTCCCAAAGCCAGGCTTGCTTTGGGGGAAGGCTCTTTCTTACTATGTATATATATATATATATATATTGTTTCAATGCTGCATTCGATCGATTGGACCTTGGCTCGACACAGGTTTTGCTTTCTGTGGTGTTTGTAGTCCGCAATCAGGCGAACCATGCTGTAAACCATTCAATCAGCGACAGGTTATTAAGTATATTATGTTATGAGTTTCGAGTTCATTAGAGAAATATTCGGAAGGCATCCATGTAGTGGTGGTGGTACCCTCTTGTGCAACTGTTCTGATCATTTGCCGCCCCAGGTGCTTCGTGTGGCCTGGCCTGCCAACGCCGGTCGAGGCATCATCATGGTTGTCTTCTGCAAACTTCACCGGAGTCTGTGTCATTCATGTGCTGTCTTCGATGTGGCTTGCCAGGTTCCGCCAGCTGATGTCTGATCTGCGACTCCGGCCTTATACCAGGCCAGGCACTCAGCTGGGCAGGCTCTTCTCACTCAGTCTCTGTCGGGCTCTGGCCATATGTTTGGGCAGCATGCCAGTGAGTGGCAGCAGCAGCATTTGGCTTGGCAGCATTGGCCTTCGTCAATTGTGTTCGTTTTTTGTTGGACTTGGCAATGGCGACTTTCATGGGCTACGTGGCTGTGCCTGAGCGCTTTTGGCGTGGCGGAGCTGGCCATGAGCAGGCCTAGCTTGTTGCTCAGACCTGTCGCTTGTACATCATCCATCCTGTGCTTCTCCCTCGTCACAGGTGTGGATGAACATCCCCACCTATGGCTCCATCGAGCATGCGGTCTTGGGAACACTGCGCGGCACGGCCAAAGCGTGCCGGACTCAGACTTACAAGCTGTGCATTGTTGCCGATTGTCAATTTGCTCTGGATGATACTTCGCAAGGCTGCAGTTGTCCTTGTCCGACCCGGGGAACATCTGCGTGGACTCACTGGACAAGACGAAGAAGGGGAAGACCAGGAGGACCGCTCGAGGCCGATGTCAGCTTTTCGCAATTATGAATTTAATCATGTCTTCCCACCAGTGGGCAGGCCAGCGCAAGCCCAACTTGCCGCACGAGCTCCTGGAACCGGACTGGCGTGTACTCAAGCTCACGGTCACCGACTCCAGTCTGCTTCTTCGTGCTCTGGCCCGCGGAGAAGTCGAGGCCAAGGGCGAGACTTTCGTGATGAAATCGTTCTCGCCTCTGGCCCCAGTGTTCTTTCAGCCAGTTGTGAAGCCGACGGAGGTGGGCTTCGCGCAGACGACTGTCACAGGCCACATCTGCAAAGTCACCGCGAACTTGGGGTCTCCTGTGAAGATGCAGGGCATGGACCAGGACGTGGGCGGCGTCGTGACCTTCTTCGCCCCCGTGAATGACGATGTCCGTAATCTCTTCATGGACAAGGATGCGCCGCTGCATACATCCTTGACCCCTCCATGCCACCAACAATTTCGGAGCCTCGTTGTCGGGAACTTGGAGGCCCAGGGCTATGAGGTACCGGTGTCGCAGGCCAACTTAGTGGACTATATCCTGTTCATGGAGGACAAGGACGCAGCCTCGATCATAGGACGGACAATGGGCATGAGCTGGACACTTGCAGTGTCTGTACCGTTGGTGGCTATGAAGACCACGGACGGCAACATGTGCCATGCGCCTCATGCTGGCTGCTTTCAGAAACTGTGGCTGATGCAGGGCAAGTTTGCGGAGAGCCTCTGCCTTGAGAAGAAGGTGAAGGTTTCCTTGTACAAGACAACTCTGGACTTCGACATGCAGGATGGCGAGATGGACCTGGCCCAGCTGCGAGAGTCGAAACTCCGTGCTCGCCAGCAGGACCGTGTGCGGAGGCAGGGGTAATTCTCGGGTGTTGTTGAGGAGTTAAGGACCTTACTACCTTTCACTCTCATTGTCATTGTCATTTCTTACATTCTTCCCCAGGCTGGATGCGAAGATCGTGGCTATGCAGGAAGAGGTCCAGCGCTTGAAGAAGAGGAAGGCCCTTTATTCAGATCGTGCCAGCGCAACATCCGACGAGGATGAAGAGGACAATGACTCAGCATCCATGACGTAAGGGAATGTAAGGGGTCTGAGGCCATTTTGTGCATGCTTGCTACTTAATTGGACTAGGACTGAGAGTCTATGTGTTAGAAGTTAAGTCAGCAGCTAGCAGCCGGCCTCGGACCCCAGCCTCGGCACTGATCAGGTAGCATCTCTCGCTTGAGCAGGATGAAGGACGATGACGAAAAAAAGACGTCCGTGTGGGGAAGCAGATACAAGACATGGCAAAACATGCTTTAAGTTCATTTTGGCTTCTTCCAGGGGGATTTTTTTTCTTCCAGGCACGGAGGCCTCAGGTCTGTGGGGGGACCTGCAAGGCAGGAGGACATCACAAGGACTTAAATTAAGTGACAGTTGGGCCTGGAAAAGTTCATTTTGATGGAGCAAGGACTCAAAACATCAGTGTCCTGTGGCAGGAGGACTCAAAATGAACTTCTGGGGCCTGGAAAAGTTCATTTTGATGGGTTTTTGATGGTTCAGGTGACAAAACCAACCATCCTTTGGTAGGAAGACATCACAAGGACTCCAAATGGCAGTGTCCTGTCACACAAGGACTCAAAATGAACTTTTGGGGCCTGGAAAAGCTCATTTTGATGGTTCAGGCAACAAAACCAACCTCAAAATCGGAACCGGGAATTACCTCGGAGTCACGGCCGTGACTCCGAGGTAATTTCTCGCGAGTTTTGGGGTTGAATTACCTTGCCACCTCTTGCCCTTAATTGGCCTCCAGCAGGAAAGGTAATTTAGGAGAAACAGTCGGAGAAATTACCTCGGAGTCACGGCCGTGACTCCGAGGTATTTTTTTCTTGGGTTTTTGGGCGAAATTACCTTTTGAAACGTTGTGTGCAGATCAAGTCAAAATCAACTTTTGCAGGCCCGAAAAGTTCATTTTGACTCGCGCCGGCAGTCCAGGGCATACTTCGACGACACACGTTTCAAACTTTGTGTGCAGATCGAGTCAAAAATCAACTTTTGCAGGCCCGAAAAGTTCATTTTGACTCGATCTGACAGTCCAGGGCTTACTTCGACGACACACGTTTGAAACTTTAAAGATCGAAATCAACTTTACTTTTGCAGGCCCGAAAAGTTAGACGACGCACATAGAATGCAGGCAAACATTGCGAAACGAACTTTTCCAGGCAAGAAAAGTTGTTTTTCATGCATTGCAAGCAGTGTAGCTTTGCACAGCCTCCTGAGTCGAGTGTGCATGTGCATTCCGATGTCCATGTCCAGCTGAGCATGCCTTGTGCATGGAACGACGCTTTTTCCCTATCTCAGGTCTTGGCCTTAGGACTTCTGACATGACAGCCGCTGCGAAAGCCCGGGCAAAGGAGAAAGAGCAGGAGGCGGCCGCGAATCTTCTGAAGGCAGCGGCGCATCCGGCCACGCGCAAGCCGGAGCAGGAGCAAATCCCGACAGCTCAAGAGCCACCTGCAAAGCGGCAGAAAGGTACGGCACCGGCACTGCCAGTCCTGCCGGACAATGGACATGTCTCCTCGGCCTTTGACGTGGTGGCCGACTTGCAGCCTTGGGTGGCCTACAGCTTGAAACATTACTTGTCCAACCAGAAGTTGATTCAAGCGGACCTGGACCTGCCCGAGATTCCGCCCTTGGTCATTGCCTCTGGCACTGCTGACAAAGAGGCCCTTCGCAACTACAAGGAGGAGTGGCGGCCTGCCAATTGCAAAGAGTCCCTGCAAAACAGCAAGGCCTACGAGGCCGGTGGCTCACTCTTTTGGGTCAGCCCCACAGCGGTCTCGGCCAAAATGCCTGTGCAGACCCTGTCGCTTGCTCAGCTTCAGGATTTGAGCGACCTGTTCTATGTGGAGGAGGCCACGGACATGGTCTTTTTTCCGGAGGTCTTGGAGGTCTCGGTGACAAGGCCACAGGACATCCCGCCCAACACCTACCCCACTGCATTGCACCTCGTGGCTGGGCACGGCTTGGTCTGCGCCTGGTACCTCCGGATGTTTAAGGCCTTACGGGACGAGGACTGGGACTACGTCAGGAAACTCTACCAGGCGGCTTTGACGACGACCGTTCGGGTCATGGTGCTGCCAACTGCAGCTGAGTGCGCCCGCCGGTCTTTGCAGATGGCTGCCTCGCTGCAGAAGAGGGGCGATGCTCTGTGTGATGGCTTCCCATCTTTCAGCTTGAAGCTTGCGATCGTGGCCGAGGGCATCAAGGGCAAGGTCGCCGACGTTGTTCAGGCCTTGCAGGGCATGCAGCTGGACTTCAAGGGCTCGCTCATCAACAAGACGATGTTCTATGCGGCCAAGGACGCGGCCGCTTTCCTGAGCCCGGTGGCCTTGAAGATCCTCGGCCAGTTGGACAGCCAGTTCGGCAAGGATGTGCTGAGCTACCACTACCCGAAGCTGAACTACATCATTGCCACGTGCAAGAAACATCCTGACCCGAAGGATCTCATCGACTTCGTCTTGTCGCAGCTTCTTTTGGGCCTCCAGACAGGGTCCATCGAGGACCCGGCCCATGTCAAGTTGGAGATGCTGAAGGGCAAGGAGGAAGAGGAGTCCGGCTTCGTGGCAATTGCGATGACCAAGTTCAAGGTCTTGCAACATGCGGTCCAGATGGCTGTTTGCATGAAGGAGCAGGGGTGTTGGGTGAAAAAGATGACCCGACTGTGTCAAGGTGATGCCTTTCGGTCAGGCCTGGCCATAAAAGCCGCTGAGGCCGAGCTTCCGCTTTCGGACGAGAGTCTCCTTCCGGGCCTACTCTCAGAAACAGAACAGGACTCCGTGGGCAAGGCCGAAGCCTTCGTGACCTTGATTCTGGCTTGCCTGCACGGCGACCATGACGAGTCGCTGCAGAGTCTGATCCAGGAAGAGAATCCGGCGCAGGCTGCCATGGACGCTAACGGCAATGTCTTCGGCGAAGCCTACACCCTGGCCCTGAAGGACATCGATGACGCGGCCAACGAAAAGGACCAGGCTGCCCTGCCTTTGCGTGTGCTGGCCCGTATGTCCTCCGATCCCTCCAGACAAAAGGATGACATGGAGACACTCAGGTCCATGGCCGAGCAGGAGCGGCAAGCGGTCTTCCAAAAGGCCAAAGAGGCCAAGAAGAAGCTCTGCTCCTTGACCGTCTGCCCAAAGAGCATTAGTGCGGCCTCCCTGCGAACGGTCTTCGAGAAAACCGCTGCGTTCTGTTTCCAGGGCACACTGAACGACAGTCACCGGGCTTTCGTGCTCTGCGCAGACCAAGAGGCCGAGCCTGCAGGCGCATGGGCTGCCCCGGTCGCGCTGGCCGGGCTTGCCTTGAAAAACTTTCAGGCCAAGGTGGACTTTGTCAAGGCCGTGAATGGGGCTGCGGACTTTTGGCTGCTCTTCGACGGCCGGCGCAAAGAGAACCGCAGTGTCATTGAAGGTGCCGCAGGGCCTGGGACAGAGACCGCGGAGATGTGGCTGACCTACTCTGGGTCTGTTCAAAGGGCCCCAGGCCGACAGGTTTTTGCAGGCAACAACAACCGCGAGATCGGCCTTGTCCGCCTCCCGTGTGGACGAGTGAGGCTCACGACGGCGGACAGGGAGGATGACTACACCCCAACCGAGGCCTGCACCACCGCGGACATGGCCTACGTCAACATCCCGCCGGTCCCTCTGGACAAGCTCCCTGTGATGACCTGGGAGGAGAAGAAGGCCATGACCGGACTCGAGGAGCGGTCAGGTCCGAAAAACTGGACAAAGGCCTCGTTCCCCTTCGCTTGGCAGCAGGTGAAACCTGTGGCTTTTTGGAAGGCCCTCATCGCCAACTACAACATCAAACAGGTCGTGGACCTGACTCCGGCCGGCGGTTTCTTGGGCATGGCCTGTCTCGAAGCAGACATCAAGTACCTCGCCTTCTGTGGCACCGATGGACATCGCAACTTTTTGGACAATTTGTTCACAAAGCACTCGATGAGCCTGATCACACAGGAGGGCCACTCGCTGTTCCAGCAATCGCTGGCCCAGCTGATCCAGCAGCTCTTCCAGGAAGTCGTGGCCGAGGACAAGAACGCAGACGATGAAGCTGAAGATGGCGAGGAGAACAAGGGCATGGACAAGGGCGAGGACGAGCATGGCGAAGGGGAAGAAGGAGATGCGTGAAAGCTATGCAGGCTGCTGCTTGAAGCAGCATGCCCAGACGGCGCTGCACAAACTGGCTGACGGTAGGTTTTGATTTCATGTTCTGTCAGGCCATGGCCTGCACAGGGCAGTAGGACACCGAGTGTTGCATCAGAGCCCATTGTATTTAATATGTTTATGGTTCATATATATAGATATAACATTTACATTATAAGATAATATAATAATATAAGAATACAATAGAATATAATATAATATAATATTGTATTATTATTATTTTTATTATATTGTATTGTATTATATCTTTTATCGCATTAATATTATATTCTATTATATTATATTATTATATTATATTATGTTATATTTTGTTATATTATCTTACAAAATTGTATTTTATTATATTGTATATACACACATATCTATATGTATATATATATATACATACATACATATAATAATAATATATACTTTTAGGACTTGATATTATCACGGTAACTCAGATGCATTCACTGTTGGACTCGGCCTGGGGCTTGGGCAATCAGTGACACTCGACTCAGCACATAGGGGTTGGCCCGGGCCTGGGCCCCTACATGAAGCAAGGACTTCCGATTCCAGAACGAAGAAAAGTGCAGTGAGCGCTTGCCACATTCAAGTCATGTTCCTTTGGAGTCACATGTGCAGGTCTGTGTCGTCGTAACATGCATGCACTTATGCACATGCACATGTGCAGACGGAAGTGCGCATGACGCAGGACTTGGGCTTAATGACAGTAGCCGGCCTCTGTCTTTGCTGTAGCAACAAAGGCCATGGCCCTTCCGCTGTCACCATGGGCCCTGGCTTTGAAGGCCCATGTGGTTCGCGCCCGGAACCAGGCGCTTCCTGGCATTCCATCGCTGCAGATGACCAGTGGTCCACAAGTCGTTGCCTCGGA